ACGGTAGATCATGATTAGTGGTCTCCTACATCATTTTAAATAATGTATGAATTAAATTATTTTTTTTATTCCATTTTGTACATTAAAAGATACCTTTTTAAAAACAATACATCTAAGTATCAAATTTTTAATTTGCAGCGATCTATTCTGAATTGTGGCATTTGGTGTATTAATTATTATTTTGTAAATAGTGTCATTAAGACCATAATAATCATAAACCTTATTGTGATATACTTATATATGTATGGTAGTCTGAGTTGTATTATACACAATTTATGTCTAGATATTTGTAAAACGAATTGCTTATATGTATTTAGAAAGAAATGTTTTTACTTGCTCGGGTATAAAATGGTATAGGGATTTATTACAACTTTTATAAAACCCGGTTCTAAAAATATCTATAGTTACCTACCATAAATCGCTAATTCGAGAAAAAAAACATTTTATTTTCATTAAGAAAAACAAAAATATATTAACAAAATGAATTTCAATTTACCTATCGGTACAAAACTAATGATTTGTTTTATAAACCCAATCCGGACTACGTAGGTACGTATTATACAACATAGTTAGATTAAATATGTAATGTAATAAGCCTTTAAAGAACTGCAAAAACATCTTTTTCCTTATTTGTTGTAAGAAATCCACTTGGTTTATATAATACCGAAATAAATTAAAAAACTTAATAGAAGGTTGTTTTACCTTTGCTTTATTTGCATAACGTACAATATGAAAAAAGTAATGAAATAGGTACTTATGCATAAAACACCAAATTTCTCAGCTTATGAAACGGATATTATTTAACTTTAGAGAAAATTTATTGTGATATAAAAATAAGTCAAGAAGAATGAAGAAAAAGAAAATATCAAATTATCACAATAATTATAATCTTCCAGTGTGTTTACCCGCGTTTGCAAGAGCGCGAAATTTTTCAACGTAACGTTGGCGATACTGTTAAACGTTGTAGTGGCAATAAATTTACCTTCTTCCTGTCACTTTCTAATAACAGTTTTTGCTCTGCTTTTTAAGTTAGTAAATGAATGTAAATTGCAGTGTATTCGTAAACAACTTTTTAGTAGTCAGAGGAAGCATAATTTTTTAAAAAGACTAAGAAAAGATCCAATTCGTTATGTAATCCTATTAATTCAACCGATTGAATAACTTTGTTTCTTTAATCGTTTTATTAGAATGGATCATTTGGCTCAAGATTTATCTGTAGCTCTAGAAGAATCTGAATCTTGTGGTCCCGCCGCTTACGAAACAGCAAAAAAATGGGGATTCAGACGAAGAACACGGTCTACTGGAAATTTACGTAAGTTTACAATAAACTATTCATTTATTTGATTGTTTTTTAATTAGAATATTTCTTAGATTTACCAGCTTGTAAAGCAGGTGATTATCACTCTGACGACAGTTCTAGTAGTACATCTGAAATTCGAATTCAACAGTTAGCAAAAAATAAATTAAATCAATCAGATTCAGATGAACTGTCGCTTAGGTTGGCTGTTACAAAAGCAGTCAATAAATCCCATTCACTAAGAATGAAGCATCAGATAAATAGTTTCTTGCGAGGACGTTATAATAGATTAGGTAGGTAATTTCATAAACTACCTATATTAATGCCACTAGTATTATTTCATATTTGCTCTGTTTATGTTTGTTATACAGGATTGCCACTCAGTCATAGTTTAGAAAGTGATTCATTAAATGAGCATTCTCCAGCACGCCCCATGAGACGTAAAAGGAAACTTAAAAGAATGAACATTGATGAAAATCCTGTACCTCCCTGTGGTAAAAGAAAAAGGCCACAGCGACTGGATGCTGTTGAAAACTATCGTTCTCTAAGAAACAGCTTTAAAATTAAACCTTTACATCCTAGTATTACCAATAAAATACAACAGTACTATCAGAATGAAATAAATGAAGTGAGTAAATTGAATTGATTATTTAAAATTAAAATATATGCAAAGTGGATTATTTTTTTTTAGTGTAATATGATGGAAACTCAATGTATCAATGATAATTGTGATGTTGCAAGCGAGAGCAGCTTAAGTTGGAGTGGTGGAGAAGGGCATGAGGGAGATGATGAACTGACTGATTGGGCTCCATCAATAGACAATGCTATTGATCAAGCATTTTGGAATGATATTGATCCCAGAGAAATTCGTGCAGGCATGTTATTTTCTTTATATTTTAAAACACTTGATTATCCCTTCAAATTTCAATTTATGTAAGTGTTCAGGAAGTTCTTTTATAGTTAAAGTTATACTGTCTTCTCAGTTTTCAGTAGCTAACTTTGAGCAAGGTGGGCTAATGCCAAAGAACCTCACTCATCAATTTAGATGCATTATTATTATTTATCTGAATAATCAGTCTGTTAAACAAATACAAAATTAACTTCTAATACGAATACTGTACAACTTATCTAGATTTTATGACAAAAACTATAGCCAGATATGCCTACTTTATTGTTTGCTCCTCATTACACACCAGGGGTTAATATTCAAAAAATCCTTTCTTTGTGCACTTTTGTACCCTCTCTGGAATACATTTCCAATTTTCATCTTTAGTGGTTTAGACAGTGTGCTATCTCTCAATTGGTCAAAAAACTGTTTTATGTGTACAATAAACAATAAGTTCAAACCATAATGTTTTACATTGATAATACATGATAGGCTGTATTGTATGACAAAAAGCGAGTTGCATATTTTAACGATTGCTTCATCTATTTTTAATGTAAACGGTATTTTTAGGATGCAGAAGACTTCGCGAAGAGAGGCCAAGTTACAGCATTAGCACAGGAGCAAATGAAAGGGTTGCTAGGTTTCTTCAAGATGCCACCAAGTCAGAATTGCATTTATATGGAGTTGAACGGGAAAAACTGGGCCAACTGGCTGCTCTTTATTCTCTGGATATGTGGTTTGAAGAGCCTGGTTGTTCACTTTTACGTAAAACAAAACGCACACCATGCATGCAACCTGCCCAACGATATCATAGCGGATTCAGTGCCGCATACAAGAAGATCAGGACGCATAACCATGTCATATCGTAAAAAAGGAATGAAACAATGTTTTTATTGTTTATACCAAATGAGTGTTCGTAATTGTTCGTCAAT